TTGTCGCTGCCCTGTGACAAGAAAATTACTTTGCGTTTCATTTCACTCTCTCGCAAAAGTGACCTGAGAAAGTCTGAACCAGGTTGTGATTCGGATTAATGCGTGGGAAATGAAAAAAATAAATAAAAGCAGTTGACGGATATACCAACTTTCATATTTTGCCCGGAGGGCCGGGACACAGCAGCTCTGTTAACCATTCGTCCGAAGAAGGTGATCCAGTGTGATTATCAGAGCACAAAAAACAAAAACCTTGCTTGAAGCCTCACTAAGACTTACAAAGAACAAATTATATCCTACTGTTGCCAAAGGTCACATGTAGGAATTCCTATTTTCTGTTTTGCGCTCTTCACCCGACTCAACGAATCACAGACCGAGAATTTCCTTTTTTTTCTTAAATCTCACACCCGTTTAAACTTTCAAAAATTAGAGAATGAAGCGTTGAACCAAAGATTCAAATTGTTGATTTCGTCAAGAAAATCAGAGGGCAGTTTTATTCTGCGTTGACTTCAAAATGTACAAGGACTTATCTATTATAATGCCAGGAAAATCGATCCCAATGATTTCAATACAGCCAATGTTTTTTTTTTTAATAAAAATGATTTTTTCGGAGATAGGAATCGTCAAAATAAAACCTTCAATTCGAAAGGCTGCCTTTTTATGGCTATCTTTGAAAAGCAAACGACAATATTCATTTCGGGCGGGGTTTAAAAAAAAAACGAATGAATAAAATCTGCGCAATTAAATCGCACGTCTGAATGAATTCGCCGTAAAATCTCTTCGGTCCTCAAAAAACTTCGCTACGCCTATTTCTTTCCTTTCCCAAATACAGTGAAAAAAAAAAAATTTTAAAAATCATCCAAGATCAGAAATCATTATTCTGATTCGAATCAATTCGACCCTGAAAATTTTAAAACAGAAGCCCACTGGGGAAGAAATGATGAAGGACCATGCCGATGAAGAGTTAGGAGCTCTATTTTTTAAATCGGTATCACGTTCTGTTCGAGTTCAAAGTTGCGGTTTCAAGGTCTGATAAATTTTTCCCGATACCTCGGTCATACATATAAATATACAAGCACCCCCCCTTTCGGCACCTGTTTCCATTCCCCCTAAAAGGTCACTAAGGGGTATAATTATCTCCCAAAGCCTTCCGTGAGCGAAAAATCGAGGGAGTCGAATAAATTACATCAGCTGCCCGGCGTTTTTCGCGGTCACCCGATCGCTTCACGCCACCTTGTGTGGTTCCTTTTTTTTGTTTTGGGTATGCTTGTTCTTCACCAGCAATTTGGGCTCAAATGGCTGCTATAAAATTTAATATGACTTACTGGGCCGGCCTTGAAACGCGAGGTGTAAAGCTTGCAAATGTCATAGTTTGCATGCTGAATTTCTCGGGACGAAGCAATTTTTAATCAAATGTGACTAATGAATTTCGTTGACGGATGAAGTTCATCAATGATGAGCAGATGGACTCTACACAATGAAATTCGAGGGACCAGAAAGAATTCGTTTCAGAGAGCATTTCATTGTAGACGAACCCTATAAACCTGGGAAGAGAACCCCATGTGACCAAAAAGAAATTCCTTATACAGAGAAAATCATTTGCATAGAGAGAGTCCACCTGTATAATGATTCAATAAAANCTTTCCTTTCCCAAATACAGTGAAAAAAAAAATAATTTTAAAAATCATCCAAGATCAGAAATCATTATTCTGATTCGAATCAATTCGACCCTGAAAATTTTAAAACAGAAGCCCACTGGGGAAGAAATGATGAAGGACCATGCCGATGAAGAGTTAGGAGCTCTATTTTTTAAATCGGTATCACGTTCTGTTCGAGTTCAAAGTTGCGGTTTCAAGGTCTGATAAATTTTTCCCGATACCTCGGTCATACATATAAATATACAAGCACCCCCCCTTTCGGCACCTGTTTCCATTCCCCCTAAAAGGTCACTAAGGGGTATAATTATCTCCCAAAGCCTTCCGTGAGCGAAAAATCGAGGGAGTCGAATAAATTACATCAGCTGCCCGGCGTTTTTCGCGGTCACCCGATCGCTTCACGCCACCTTGTGTGGTTCCTTTTTTTTGTTTTGGGTATGCTTGTTCTTCACCAGCAATTTGGGCTCAAATGGCTGCTATAAAATTTAATATGACTTACTGGGCCGGCCTTGAAACGCGAGGTGTAAAGCTTGCAAATGTCATAGTTTGCATGCTGAATTTCTCGGGACGAAGCAATTTTTAATCAAATGTGACTAATGAATTTCGTTGACGGATGAAGTTCATCAATGATGAGCAGATGGACTCTACACAATGAAATTCGAGGGACCAGAAAGAATTCGTTTCAGAGAGCATTTCATTGTAGACGAACCCTATAAACCTGGGAAGAGAACCCCATGTGACCAAAAAGAAATTCCTTATACAGAGAAAATCATTTGCATAGAGAGAGTCCACCTGTATAATGATTCAATAAAAATGTGATTACGACAAATCTTGAGAGATAGCTTTTCAAAACAAACGTATAAATCTTCAAGTTGATATTTTCTTTGGGAAACACCTTCAAATTCAAATTATAAAAAAAAATTGTAATAGATCTACAGTGTTTATAGTGCCTTCATTTTTTCGTTCGGATCAACTTCACTCAAAGAATTTCAGAGTTATATTCAAGGAGTCTGAGAAGATATCAACTTGTTTTGGCGAATCATCTCATTTTTTAAAATTCATTAGTCCTGAAAAATTGAATATAAGGCCACTACGTGATATTAAATCTTCTCGAGCTCTCAAAAAATTGTCTCCGACTCGATCATTTGAAAGATTTGGGGCTTAGTTCCACAACTTATTAGCTTTTAAAATTTTCTGACGTGATATTACAGTATTCCTCAGAAGTTGCTGAAAGCTCTTGCTTGAAATAGTGTCTGATCGCAAATATTTTTCATTAACGAAAAATATATAGTCTGTGAATTATTGAAAACGCGTCTTGAATCAGCAATCGGAACTGCAAAGCTGCAATTTTTATTGATGACCTGTTTTAAAATTTGTTCCAAGATTTTCTTCTACTTTTTATAATATTTATTCGAAACTTACGTACGCACTTCAATTAAACAAAACGTAAATTTAACGAGTAAAAGTCTTTTAACATATTTACTATAAAACAAATGATCACATAGACATAGACATACTCAAGGTTTTGAATGTAGAGAAAAGCAGAAAATCATTATTTTTTTATCTAGTACAGTACTGATGTATATTTGAAGGCAAAAAGTTCTACATCTTCATTTGTTTGGTCAAGATTTAATACAAACTTTTGTGGCAGCGAAGGAATATATATATACGATAACAAAAAAAATGGAAAGAGCCCATCATCTTGGAGGTAACAATAAAAAGCTTAAAAATGATAGCCAAAAATTGTCAACACGATCCAAAAAATGAGGACGGGGGTAGTGAATCATTCTCGTTAGCATTCGGCGAAGGTAAATTTCATGTCATTTCCAGGGTCACGAAGAATCGACTCGCCAATCTTAAATTATTGGTTTTGGCGATGATGGTCACCCTGCGCGTGCAAATTTGAATTACGCCACGACATTTCAAGGCAGAAAGTCACAGGGAATAATATTTTCATTACAAAAGACGAAGAATACTCTTTGGAAACCCTCGTGTTCTCACAAGGACTGCCATAGGATGATTTTATGACGGTTGTTCGTTTTTACAACTCCATACCATCAAGGTCTGGTATTTATTTCCGGTTTTTAACTTCTCTCAGCTCACAAATAAACCTACTTAAACTACAAAAGTATCTCGTCTCCCCTTAACGTTTTAAAATGACTGAAGTCTCTAATTGAGTTTTACTATTTCAAAGTCTGAGTATTTCTGAGTGCTATTTCAAAGTATACATTTATTAGCAAATTCTAGGAGGATTTTTTCTGCAAATGCATGGTTCATCACAAATATCGAGCATTTCCCTTTGAGAAATCCGAGCTTTGTTTCTGCACCAATGAGAGATCGCACACAATTTTCAGGGATTTTTGAAACCTGATGATATAGCATACAAGTAATGTATCAAAATAAAATATAATCACATTCAATAATTTTAATCGAAGATCAATGAAAAATTGCAGAACAAGTTTCACCAGTTTTTTCTATTTTAATTTTCATGAGGTATTCCTTTAGACCTTTTTAAAAATATATTCATCATTTAAAAAAATCCAATCAATTCTTGTGTGATTGTGAGGATTATTTACTTTTGGCATTCAAGTCTCTGGATAAATCCATTTTATTGCACAAAAACATTTGAATGCTCACGCTTAAACTCATGACCGGCCGATTACAGAAATCTCTTAAGAATAATCATATTCTTATTGCTCTTAAGAATGATAAATTATGCACTGTTTCTGCAGATTAGAGTTTCGAATTAATTGAATGACTCAAGACACTCTCTATATTTTGCGAAAAATTATAAAATACGGAGGCTAAAAGTCAAGATTATTCAACTCCTTCGCTCTCACGAAGAATAGATAATGACAAATTTTATTTGGATGAATTTGATGTTTTCATAGAGCAGAGGGGAATTGCAAAATTTTACTGACTTCAGAGATTAACTCAAAATGATAAAGTTTCAGACTCATAAAGACTCACGATAAAGTTTCATATGTAAAATTAGCAAATTCTAGGAGGATTTTTTCTGCAAATGCATGGTTCATCACAAATATCGAGCATTTCCCTTTGAGAAATCCGAACTTTGTTTCTGCACCAATGAGAGATCGCACACAATTTTCAGGGATTTTTGAAACCTGATGATTTAGCATACAAATAATGTATTAAAATAAAATATAATCACATTCAATAATTTTAATCGAAGATGAATGAAAAATTGCAGAACAAGTTTCACCAGTTTTTTCTATTTTAATTTTAATGAGATACTCCTTTAGACCTTGTAAAAATATATTCATCATTTTAAAAAATCCAATCAATTCTTGTGTGATTGTGAGGATTATTTACTTTTGGCATTCAAGTCTCTGGATAAATCCATTTTATTGCACAAAAACATTTGAATGCTCACGCTTAAACTCACGACCGGCCGATTACAGAAATCTCTTAAGAATAATCATATTCTTATTGCTCTTAAGAATGATAAATTATGCACTGTTTCTGCAGAGTAGAGTTTCGAATTAATTGAATGACTCAAGACACTCTCTATATTTTGCGAAAAATTATAAAATACGGAGGCTAAAAGTCAAGATTATTCAACTCCTTCGCTCTCACGAAGAATAGATAATGCCAAATATCCAATGGTTTTTTTTTTTACGCCGCCAGTTTCATGATTATTAATGAGCATATTTTCCAGACTTTTTGATGAAAGATTTCTCCATCTACATAGATTAAAAAACAGCAGTGTTGAAAAAAATATATTTAAATAAAGTTTTTGCGTATGTGTTTGAGGCTTGAACTCACGATGGGAAAGGGTTCTGGAATGGACCAGACTCCTCGCTGATGAACAGGTCACGTGGACGATGGGCCCTGGTTTGTCGGGTGACTTCTTGACCCGGAAAAGGGTGATGGGCATTGTTCAACGATTGACTGACGATGTCGCCTTCGTTGGTGTAGCCGTAAGAAAAGCCTTCTTCGCCGCCATGCGACACCGAAACTCGGGAAATCGAGTCTCCTTCGATGGCCATGATGCAAAGCGACGTCCAAAATACGACAAACAGCTATTGGGTGTGGAATAATGACGCATCAAAAATATTGTAAATTTTCACACTAGAAAAAACATTGAAAACGCTCCTGTAAAATTCAAATCGCGTATTCTCAAGATATGCAGCCAATTAATTATACTCGTGGATTTGCGCGAAGGAGTCAAAAACTATTATATTTTTGTAATTTCCTTCTCCAGCTTTTACGGGCATGCAGGAAATAAAACCAGAAAATTTTAAATCGCGTTCCAATTATGCTCATTAAATTTTAGAATTGAACAAGAACAGTGATTCTTTTGTTTTTATTCTCTGAGAGATAATTTACATACTTCGCTGACATTCACGAAAGTTTCCGTAGGATCGATTAAAAAAATAAAAATTGACACGGGGTGAATTTTCTCTTCGATTGGTAGGGTAGAAAATCTGCTATGATTCAGTTGGATCGCGGAATTTAATTTTTGTTGTCGGGAGAAAATACCGTAATGATATAGATTCTGATTTATAGCCCTCGGAATGAATGTCTACTGTTCTGGAACTTCCGTGTGTCACACGAAGGGAACAATTAAGATTTCCCCTGAGATTTAACCACAATCTTCTGTGAAGAAAAATTACGCGAGTGGATCAAAGAAAATTAATCGCCTTTCTATTTAATTTTTCAAGTGACACCTGAAGCAAACAAATATTCGAAGTACTGTATATACAGTACAGTATATGAAAAAAATGCGCGAATAAAAATTCAATGAATTAAAACTTGAATTTGGATTTTCTAGAAATATGCGTGAAGGCTTGCTCAAGTATAGTTCTTAAGTTGGGAAATATTATGCTACAGAGTATGTACAGTATTAAAAAATTAACTTCGAATTCGACATAATTTGTGTTAATATTGTTGGACATATGGCATACTCGTATATTTCAGAATGATTTTCGATTGGAATTCAGCCCAGCAGCAGGAAGAATGTGTCGCAAATTTCTTTTTCAAGTTTTCTACGCTTTATGAGGATTTCCGTTCAAAAATACTCACGCAATTGGACGTCATTTTCTTGAGCAAACCGGGATCAAGAGATAGAAACACAACTTGATCTTTTCGATTCCGCGTAAATAAAATATTTATTTTTTCTGCAAAGCGGGATGGGAATTCAACCAAGAACTGGTTTTTAAAATTTTTTTCTGTCAGTCACGTGGACACAGTTTTATTTCCGGTGTTTTTGTAAGGATATGAATCGCTCCACCTGTTCGTGCCGGAAACTCGACCGCAACTAAGCCAACATCCCGGCATTCCGTCCGGTTTTTCCCGGCCAGAATCGAGCTTCTCCAGCTCGTTTGTCGTCCCAGTAAATGGAAAAAATGAAGGTCCATGAAGGCCTCAACGAGAAAAAAAAGGAAGACAAAAATGAAGAAAATCGCTGCTGTGTTTTCCTCTTGAATTTTACTCATTTTCGACGCACGAAAAGTCATCCGAAATATTTCGTAATTAGTTTTTCCTTTTTTCTCTTTTTTTTTTTGCTCAACGGTGGGAGGGGCGTTTCTTTAGAATTAATTCGCTCCGAATTCTTCGAGCAAAATATTGAAACACGCCTTCTTAAATTCTGACTGTTACGATTGCCGTGTCGCGATGTATTTTTTGAGGCACGGAAATAAATTTTATGTTCAACTTCAAGTAATCACAATTTATTGAATACTGTTTCAATATTTATTATCAATATAATCGAAATTGAGTCAAGACATAGCGTCGAAAGTGTTGAAAAAATGAATTAATGTTCGAATTTATGCAAGTCTAATCGCAGAGAAATTGCAAAAAGAAGTGAAACATTTTCCCTGTATCATTGTGTCTGATCTCAAATTTGACGACGATGACATAATGAAAAATGCTCTGATATCTTGAAAATGTGCGTGTAATTGTTGCAGAATTTTCAAATTGCTTTAAATGGCGTTTTTTGAGAAAGGGTTTTCCAGTTAAGACTAAAATACGGTAGAATAAAATTCTCATCATATATCAAAAGATCCTTATTTCAAGTCTCAGTATAATGGTTCAATTTGTGGTCGACAGAATACTGACAGGAATTTACTAACGCTAGGAATTACGACCTTCTGAGGTCGTGAGATTTACCGAATTTTTCTTTTTAATCACAGATTTCCTGTAGATAAATCATGAGTTTAAATTAAAAATATTGCGAAATGATTAAGCATCAGTCAAGTTCATCTTCAAAGGGAAAAAAATTGTGAGGCTTCTTTCAATCGAATAAGAAAGGGTAGGAAGACAAATTACAAGTCTGACTGAAGTAGTCATCCCATTATTCATAAGTAAAACCACGCACCCAAAGAATTAACTACAATTAAGTGTAGTACTAAAAACGCAATCGAAGTGATGAAGATTTTGCCCATCATCAAGTGTTAGTTGGAGGCTTTAAATTGTTCCTTTCGCATTAGAGAACGTATTTATTTTCGCACCAGCGCGTCGAAAAGCAAATTGAATGACATAATAAAGGAGTTCAAGGTTTTATATTTGCATCTTCGATGCCTCGGGCATTAGTCAATTTTCTCTCAAACTCAAGGCTGCCAAACTACAGACCATGTGTTCATCCGGTTTTGCCTTCTGTGGAACCCGTCATTAACAGACCAATACCCATTAAATTCGTTACGTTCAAAAAGTACCAGGGGGGGGGGGTGTTGAAAGGAGTATTTCTGGGGTTATTTTACACGTAATTTAAAATCCAGCGTTCACAATAGAATCGTCTTTCAAATCTGCGTGACTGAAAGTTTCATTTTTTCATGAATACGAATCGCTTCGGGTAAATCATTTCGAATTGAACCTCAAATTTTCTCTGAGGAACTTGAATTTTCAATTGCGAGACCTAAAATACTCTGATTCAGATTACAGCTGTGGGTCTCCGTATATAAAGAAACAATAAATTCATTCATATGGGTGCCTTTCGTCATGGATAATTTTCATTGTGTGCAACATAACCCCTTTAGTTACAATTGAAAAATATCCAATCCCCTCTTCGTCACCCGCAAAAAAAGCCAGGCGAAAAATATTCAATTTTTCAAGTTTTCAGCATACGATTTGATATTCAAATTTCTTTAATGAACTTGTAGAGATTTTCATTTTTAGCTCATGACGTTTGAAAATTTGGAAATTTCAAAGGCAAGAATACGAAACAACGCAGATATTTTTCACTTTCCTGGACAATTCGGAAAATCCGCAGTTTCAGCTCAGAAGTACTTAAAATTCGAGACTTTCTAACTGAAAATGGTTGTTACGAGTTATGATTTTGTTTTACAGGTGGAATCTCTCTACAACGACTTTCTCTGTTCAACGAATATTTTTTGGTCGTCCCATTTGGTTCTTTTTTAGTACATAAATGGGTTCTGTACAATAAAATTATCTCTACTTCTAGTGTTTTCTTGCTGTCCCCCAGAATTTCGTGTCGAGATGAGTCCACCAGCTTAAGTCAATTTCTTCACCATAAAAATATTCGAATTTCGAAATTTTCGTTGTGTGGGTCTTTCGTAAAGCGGAAAGACGCTGTAGAATATTTAGCAACTCTCAGAACTTATTCAAGATTTTCTGGATACGTGGCTGAAACACGCATTTAGCAAGTTGAATAAAATCTACTGTATAATATTGGACTTTCTTTCTCAATTCCAATTATAACACCGAATAAATTTTTTTTGATTATTTATCCCGAATACAAAGTCTGCATAACTAGCCAACCATGACCACTTATCAATCTGAAAACATGACGTTCAAGACAACTCACTTCATACAAAACTCAGCATCACCTTCGAAAAAACGAGAGAGAAAAAGGTATATTTTTATTTTTTTCAAAAGAAAGAAAAGAAACTGGTCCAAGTTCTTACGTTTCTTGATTTACAACCTCCAGCAGTACAACATCGGATAAATTACCGCCTCCGGAAGCTGCAGGACACGCGTAACAAGCCGAATGCACTTGAAATAATTGATTCTTTTTTTTCCATTTCTTCAACATAGAATGAATCGTAAATAAGTGCCTGAGGCGAGCATCAGGGCCGAGATTATTTGGATAAGCCGGTCATTGGTGTTGTCTGGACCTGGAAGAAAATTTGAGGGTCACCCCGGAAATTGCTGCAGTAGATTCTCGTTTTCCCACTGAAACAGTCAATTTCTTTTCAGTATATGACGAATGTCATACTGCACTAAATGGCTGGAGGCGAAACCGAAAGGATTTTCAAATTTCATGACGCGTTCAACCTTCGAATACCGTACCGAAATTACTGGCATGGTTTCAACTGGAGAAGAAATCGGATAAAATTCCACGTTTAAAGGTTAAGTTTTAACGTGAAATTTTATCCCAAAGATCATCTTATAGATTAGAATGATTGACAGGAATAGATGGAAACGCAGTATTTTATTTTCACTCGGGTCCACACTTCCAATCCGAAACTTCGTCAAGAAATGCCCTTGAGAAAGAAATTCTTGACAAAAAAATAGAAGAAATTTAAAACTTCCACGTTTTATTCAGGTTTATGGAGTTTCGGAGAACGCGATCCTGCAATTTTTTTACAATCAGCAAATTAGAAAAATAAAAATGGCGCGGTGTGTGCATCGAGAATTTTTTTAAATTCAAATAAAACTTATGTACCTGATCTCACGAGTTTCTACCGTACACGCATTCAAGATGGACGATAAAATTTGGAAAAAGAACAAATTTCCTACGCTGCGACACTCGGATCTTTTAAAAACTCCACTCATGATTATTCGAACTCAACTTTTATTTTGGTGTAACCTCAGAATTTCTCTTTTATGCCAAAATAAAAATGAATGGACAGGTTTTTTTCTTTAGCATTGAAGCTCCATCCATTCATTTTATTTTGGTGTGAGGTAAATTAGGTTCACTAAAATAAATGTTGAGTTCCAAAAATCATGAGTGGAGTTTTAAAAAAAAATCCTCGAGTGTCGCGTAGAAAATTCGTGCTTTTGCCAATTATCTCGTCCATCTTGAATGCGTGTACGGCAGAATTGCGGGAGATAAGGTGCTTGAATTGGATTTGAAATGAAAAATTCTTGAAGCACACATGGCGTCAATTTTTTTTTCATTGCAAAAATGCGAACTTTTGTTCGTTTCTAATGTGCCAACGCGACTGCAATTTCTAGAAATTGATCCAAGAATAAATCGATACGAAATAACATTTCCATTTTCGACGTAAAGTATTTGAGAACTTGAAATTGGAATGGTTTGAAGATGTATCTCAAGACCTGTACAGACCTTGACATCTTACTCTCCTAAGAATTGCCGAGGAAGAGTTAAAAAAGATTTTGAAAATTTGTAGAGTTGTTTCAATATCAATTTGAGGTCTGGGATTTTCCGTCCATTAAAAACTCGTGTCAAATCGGGGAGTCAATCGTCAACCAGTCGAAAGCGATCAGCTAATTAACGAAGTTACGTCAAAAGTGTTGCCAAAAAACAATGACTCGATTCAAATTAAACTCTTCGGTGGCTCTGGTGCGAAATTTTGCATTTCCAGTAAATTTTCAGGCATGATAAATATTTCACACCACGTTTCTTAATTTATTCTATTTTATTTTATTTTTTTACTGCGTGGGCTACTTTTGAATTCTATAAAAGAAAAAGCTTGAACTTGAAAAATTTCTCTAGGAAGTCTTATTTAGGGAAGAACACACGATTGGAAATTCTCGACACGACTCTTTGCCAACTGGATACTGCTGTCGACACGTCGCAAAAGGGCTCCAGGACTGGATTCCGAGCCCAGCTGTCGACGCTGCTGTCGAGGGCAGGGCAACAACGTCCCGACACCTGTCGAATGCCTCGACGTTTTATGTCCACTGTCGAACAGCTTCTGGGCGTCGAAGACGTCATCCTCGTCGTGGCTCTTGCACATGTTCAGATGACCGTGGCCACTCTTCGACATCGGTGTCGACGGAGTGAGCAAGTGTGAGCGACGACACGGTGACGACAAGTAGTTGGGTCCCACCGGAACTTTCAAGTAGGTGTGACAGAAGATGTGGTCGTTGGCCCACATCTTATTGGCTCTTTTGATTTCCTCCATCTTTTGAAAGAAAATTTATATTTCAATAACTTTGCAATCGCTGAATTCTTTGGTGTGTAAATATTTAGTTCCGAGTCTACAAAAACCCACGCGTCTCAACTCGGAGCCAAAAAATGCAGCGCCAAAAAAAAAAAAAAACCAACACCACGTGCGAAAAACCGAGACAGTGCATCCATTTAAATTTAAATTATGCCTACCCCAGTTTTCAATAGTAATCGAAAAAATATGAAATTTTAAAATGAAGTACATTACAGTACAGTAATTCCGATTTGGAATCTTTCGCCCATCTGTCGATAAAAGTAGTCAAGAGAAGACGAGCTAATTATCGGAAAAATCTTGCTTGAATAATAATCGAAGGATTATTGCAGCTTCCTTTCCATCGTTTTAGAATCACAGAGTGACCTTCAAAAACAAATTGAACTTAAGATATATTATTACGAACTCCTTTTCTACATTTGAGACACGTAAAAATCGCCGACATTCCGGAAAAATTAGAAGTTTTCCCGCTGTTCTGAGGTTTTCAAGATCTGTCGATCGTAAACATTATCTGTATTTTTGTAAAAGTGAAATGAGATTTTTCGGAATTATGGCACGATTGGAACTGAAAAGCAAACGGCAATCTCAGCATGAATAACAATTCACCAGGGAAATTTTAGATACACGGTTCAATAATTTCCTTTGGAAAATCTTTAGAGAAAAACAAATTCGCTGCCACGATGAGGCCATGAAAAACCAAGAAAACCGCCAAAACGAGCTTCCGATGATAATCTGAAAGAGTTCTTCCGCTTCTCAGGCCTCGTGAAGATGGACATGAAGTACTAATCACAAAATACATTAACTTTAAACGCGGAGCTGGAAATTTTATTCGGTTTAGATTGGTTCAATTGAAAAACAACAAAAAAAGGGGAAAATGAGCCAAAATTTTGAAGAAGAAAAAAAAGATAGAAGAGAAAGAACTGACCGTAGCTCCGTAACGCAAAGCCAGTCCTTGCAAGGTGTCCCCACTGCGGACTCTGTGCTTGACGACTACTTTAGGCGGTTCTCCGTGACACAGCACAGGGGACGCCGCCAACGGCGACCCGCCGATCAGCGGCGACCCTCCGCCCAATCGTCCGTAATCCGCCTTCCGCAGCACCTTCATTCTGAAGGACTGAAAGCCGTCCGCCATGACTCAGAATCAAATTTCTTGTTCTTTGACGAAGACGAACGCAAAAAGAAGAAAATTGGAATCGTTTCGAAATCTTCGACGGGGGGAAACCACGGACGAAAATCAGAATCCACGAACAACCACCGAATTTAGGGCAGAGGATTTCAACCGCACCGATCGCAAGCGAGAACCGAAATGCTGATTGATTTCTTCTTCCTCGGGAATTTTCTTTCCTGGCGGATTAAAAGTTCATTCTACGAAGTTTTATTTTTCATTTTTTGCCTAGACAAAAACAAGGGTTCTTTCATAAGTTTCGTGTTTCCGCTTTCAGAGTTTTTTCTAGATATAGACGATCACGGAATAATATTCGATCAATGCATGAACCACTTTTTAAAATCTTTAATCGCTCAAGTTAAGAATTTGAGATCCGCTGATGGATTTAATTTTCACGGAATAAAATTGTGTCAGATCTTTGCATGATTACAATTTTTAAATTTGTAATCACGCAGGTTGATTCTTTCTTTTTTTTTCAAGGAAACAGAAAGTAAAAAGTGCATCTCAACTTTATAAGGCAATATGAGGTTCAACTTGTCACATTTGCCAATTTAAAACAGCTGCGAATAGGTGTGACCAAGAATTTCAATTATTTCGCTTCTTTTCAGAGGTGATACCCCAGATTTGACAAGAGTGTTCAAATGAAGAAACACTTCTGATTTCGAATAGTTTTTTTGTTGGTCATCCTGAATGTGAAAATAGGTCGCAAAATTGGTGTGAAATGTGTCCCGAGTTCGGGGGCTGTAATTATTGTGGTGAAAATTTCGTCTTTTTTTTAAACAGAAAATCGTATCAAGTTCGTCATTTTCTATTCCGGAACTTCGGAAAATACCCATTACAGAAAAACTATCAAACGAATCCATCCCGGTGACGTGAAAAACTGGTCTTCAAAAAGGATTTCTCGTGAAAAACATTGCGAAATTTTCCTGCAGTGAACAATAAAAAAACCAGTTTATTTCCGAGGAATTC